TGAATGACCATATTTTTATCGAACCAATCTTCTGATTGATGGTTTATATGCACAGACATTACCCATAATTTATTATAGTTAAATTTGCATGTAGGTGATATTTACAATTTTTTTTTTGATATTGAAAGGGGCAAAGACATTACCCATAAATGTTACATGAATAGATTTCATTCCTTTATTGATAAGAGATCAGATTTGATCTAGTGATATTTATAATTTATTGCATGTTGAAGATGGAGGAATAGATTCCCCTCTTTCGATAACTTTCTTCCTTTAGCACAACCAAAAGACCTTTTACATGACCCACTCTCGCGACCATCCATGTTCGAATAAAGGCCAAAACTGTGGAGGAGATAGAAGAGAGGGTGTCACGTTCCAGGGTTGTCGTTTTGGATTAATGGCAGCTTGTCTTGGCCTCGATCGGGAAACATCTTGTGGCGTACCATCCGAGTTCCAACCCCATCATCCATCTCACGGCCCATGTCTGATGCTTCGGGGGAGCTTTCTGAACCATTCAGTTCAGTAGGGGTATAATTGAGTTGAGTGGAGCCGATGTAGTACCAAGCTCAAACTCGACTCGACTCGACTCGCGTATTCGATAGTCGATCTAGGCTCGAGTTCAAGCAGAGATAAAAACAACTCTTGTTATCGAGATACCTGAGCTCGTCTCGAATAAAAAATCGAAATCCTCTTCTAGTTTTGGCGTATTTTTTCCCCTCTAACGTATCCGCGACTTTTTCAGTGATTCGTGGTGTTATTGGGTCGAGCGGAGCCGGTATAGTTTGAAGCTCAAGCTCAACTCGACTTGCATACTCAGTGCTCAATATTCGATTAGATCTCAACACGACTAGAAAACGGACATATTAGAGCTAGACTCAATTTGTTTACATCAAAAAATGACTAACTTTTGATTTTTATCAACAAGTGATAAAATAGTCTGTCAGAGCAGAGTTTTCTCATTTATGAATAGAATTATTGATAATCTGAAGGGAATCAACAACTCGCCAGTGAAGTCATCGACAACATAATGTGAAGTTATTGATGAGAGTATTGAAGTTTCTTGACAAAGTCATCAATATCGATGATGAGCAATCAACGAGAACATAACCGTCAGGTGGTGATATCCAGATTCGTTAATTTAGGATTTGGGTAATTTCTTTTGGATAAGTGCTCGTGAAGTAACTTCCAATAATCACTATGAGGAAGTTATTTGTTTATTTGAATTCCAAAGTTGTAACCGCCTATTTAATCGTCTGCAGGGAATTACAAATACCTCAAGTGTACTCTTTGTAAAGCCTCGATCAATCAATCAAAGAACTCGACATTCTGTTACATTTAACTTTATCTTTACTTTTCCACAATATAAATATCTTTCAATTCCCGTACTTTAGTCGTAGTTTCAGATATATTTGTCATCGATTGAATTTCGACATTATATCTTTAAAAGAGCATTTTGTCGTCGATTAAATTCCGGCAAAATATTTTGTATTTTGTCGTTGATTAAATTCCCGACGAAACATACCCACTCCTTGTGATTCATTGAGATTCCTGTTCGAAATCGCTACAGAACCTATCTTCTCTTAATAAAACCGAAGAACCAATAATCGGTGAAAGATATTTTGTTGACGACCCTTTTCAGCGAAATATCTTTTTGGCACACCCGGTGGGACAATTTGTAGTTTGATTTGAGGAAATTCAATGCCGAGTACAAGGGATTATCCAAAGCCTAGCAATTCCGCGGGTAACGATCCTAATGGCAATGATAGGTTTGCGCACTCCGAATCTTCAGCCGTTAATCGAACGACAGAAGAAGGCTAGCGTGAGGGGGCAGACCTTTCCCGACGTCTCACTGAAGATCAATAGAGAGAAGTTGTACCAAATCTTAGTATGTGGGCCACTATGAAGAGATTATTTGAAGGGCAGTGTAACGATATAGTCAATTACATTGTGAGTCACATGTCAGATGTGATTAAGCCGGTCATTCTCAATGCCATGAATGTTGTTTTCTCGAGGCCAGAATCGTCCAATTAACCACCAGTATCTAATCTAGTGGTAACAGGGTAGGCTCCTAGTCCCTCTTCATTTATTGATGCCAGAAATATTGGTCAGAGTAGTCAATCCCCTATAAAAATTATGCAAATACCTAAATCTTCTAATCAAGGGCACATTGATAAGAATAATTAGGCTAATGTAGGTCGATACAACCAAATTTGTGACAATAATTTGGCAAATCAAACTGGTCAACATGCCAGTCAATTGTCAATTGTTGAAGATATAAGGCCAATTCCACTCAATGTGAATATTCCTATTAGGCCTGACATGCCTATTAATGTTAATAATTTGGCAAGATCAACGTTACCGCCTAAGGGGCAAAATGGCCAACCAAATCAACAATTGAACCTAGTATAGTTTGTCAAAGAATTTCGACAATGATTGAGATTAGACAAGGGTGTTATCATACCTGTTTGTAGGAAATCACATCTTGAACGAGTCAATAACCAACATTTTCCAAGAGGCTTTGAAATTCCTGAATTTGCCATTTGTACTAGTGAAGATGAACAATTGACTATTGAACACATTGATTGATTTATAGTCCAATGCGGAGAAGCAGGGAAAAATGAATTTTTAAGACTTAGGTCATGTCCTTTATCTTTGTTCAAAACTGCTTTTACCTGGTATACTGATTACCACCTAATTCTATGTGTAATTGGGCAGAGATGGTAAAACAATTCCATTCTCAATTTTATAAAATGATAACTGAGATATCGATTGTTGATTTGGCCACACTTGATCAATGCAATAACAAGTCGGCCGATCAATTTGTTGCTTGATTAGAAAAGGCTAGAAATAGATGCCTCACTTCACTCTCAGAGAAATAATTTGGCTTTCAATGGATTGAAATTCAATCTAAGAAAAAATTTCGAAGGCCAAAATTTTGCCGATTTATTTCAATTGGCAACACAAGTGTCTAAGTACAAGCAATTACTTAAGGACATAGATAGAGGGTCATATGAAGATTTTACACAAAACATGGCTTTCGTGAAAAAAACGTATCAAATGATGAATCTAACCAAGATTTGCGAATGACAAGGGGGCACATAATGACTCATGATTATCTATTTAAAATAATCGAATGATCCATGAATCATTCAATTCTTTTAAAATAGGTATATGTTTACCCCCAAAAATAACAAATTTTTGTTGTTATCGACAAGTGATAGACTTAGTCAGTGAGAGCAAAGTTTGGTCATATATGAACAGAATTATTGATAACTTGAAAAGAATTGACAACATGCCAATGAAGTTATCGACAACACAATGTGAAGTTATTGACAAGAGCCATGAAGTTTTTTGACAAAGTCATTAATATCGGGGGCGAGCAATCAACAAGAAGATAACTGTTATGTGATTATGTCCAGATCCGTTAATTTAGGATTTGTGTAACTTCTTTTGGATAAGTACTTGTGAAGTAACTTCCACTAACTACCTTTAGGAAGCTATTTGTTTATTTGAATTCCAAAGTTGTAACTGCCATTGTAACCGCTACGGGGATTATAAATAGTCCAAGTGTATTCTTTATAAAGCCCCTATTAATCAATCGAAGAACTCAACGTTCTCGCAAAATTATCTTTATTTTTATTATTCTGCAATTTAAATATCTTTCAATTCCCGTGCTTTAGTTGTTGTTTCGGATATCTTTGTCGTTGATTAAATTCCAATGTTATATCTTTATCACGCACTTTGTTATTTATTAAATTCCAGCAAAGTGTTTGTACTTCGTCGTTGATTAAATTCGGACAAAGCATACCTATTCCTTGTGATTCATTTGAGACTTCTATCCGGAATTGCCATACAACACTTCTCGTCTTACTAAAACCGAAGAACCAATAGTCGGTCAAAAGATATTTCGTCGACGACCGTTTTCGGTGAAACATGAATATATAATCAACTTTTAAATAAATTTAATTTAAGAATTCTTTATCTCGGGTTCATGTTAGTCATATTTCTCAACCCAACTCCGAGAAATTGTACCTTTTGAAATATGAGATGAAATATATTATATGAAATCATGGTGAATTTTTTTCGCTAGCTTGATGATCCGGTTCTAGTTATAACATTTTCAGCTTACGTAGTTTGGATAGCAAATTTTGCTTCGTTGGAGTTTTTACACTGAATTAAGATGACATGGTTTAGATACACTATTCTTACAAAAGAAACCACACTGGAAAGATCCGTTTCTTTTTGTTTGTTTAGTTTAATTTACCTTTTTCTTTATATTTTTTTAAAATTGCTACATATACTACTCGTGTAGTAAATTTTCTTACTAAGCATTTGTTGGGTGCTCATATAGCCTTGCTAAGCTAAATAATTGTTTACAGAACGCCGCATATTATTGGATACACCAATTGAGTATACAAATCTTGTATCATTGGCATCGCCCTTTTTTCTATGCTTCATTGTGCCTTTGTACATGACATGTCACTCTTTTATGCACATCACATATCCGGTTCTACGCATCATGTGTACATGATATCATATTTGGGTCATTTACTCAATATGATTCGCACTATCTAATCTATGAGATTATTGATATATTTCATGGGTCTGGATTAACCTATTCAAGTTGGGTTTTATCACCATAACGCTACGTCATTGTACAAAATGTTAAAGAAAGTGGTGTCCTTCTCATCGAATAAGAAAATGAACTTTGAGAATGGAGAGAGTTTGGTACAACTTTTACTTCAACTTATGTTCTTAGTTTTAGCTTTTAGCGGTCGACACTTTGTGCTTTCTAATATGTCGCACATTTCATCGTTAGAAACATGTAAATCTACCCTTCAATTGCTTCATATTTACTCATTATTTATAAGATCGTTATAGCTTTTACTTTATGAAAAGATTGAAAAAAAATGACTCTTCCATCCCTTTTCTTTTTCTTTATGCTACAAGACAACGCAATCTCCATCTTAAAATATGAGACAAGTACTTTTCTTAGTCTCACACTGCTATCGATCCACTCAACAAGTTGCGTTCGTTTTTGTTGTGTGTGTCTGGTGGAGATTCTCTTGCATATCCTCCAATCCCTCTCCCTCTCTCATTCTCTCTCGCAATCACACACGCACAAAACACAAACTCATGTACACTCGCATGGCAAGATCAGCTCTTGCTCATTCCCTCCTCACGTTCCTCCTCTCCCTCCCTTTCGTTCCTTCGCATGCCTCGTCTCCCTCGAGCACCTTCCTCTTCGGCGGATGCACCCAGCAACGGTTCGCGCCCGGCTCGGCTTACGAGTCGAACCTCGACTCGCTCCTCACCTCGCTCCTCAACTCGGCCACCTACTCGTCCTACAACAACTTCACTGTCGAGGGTTCGAGCCCGCAGGACGTCGTCTATGGCCTCTACCAATGCCGTGGCGACCTCTCGATGCCGGATTGCACCATGTGCATCACCCGCGCGGTGACCCGAGCCGGCGAGCTGTGCTCGAAAACGTGTGGCGGGGCCGTGCAGCTCGAGGGTTGCTACGTGAAGTATGACAACGATTCGTTCCTCGGAGTGGAGGACAAGACCGTGGTTATGAAGAAATGCGGGCCCTCGGACGGGTACGAGGCCGGGCCCATGGGCCAGAGAGACGCGGTGCTGGCTAGCCTGGCGAGTGAGGGCGGGCTGTACAGGGCCGGTGGGTCGGGGGAGGTGCGGGGCTCGGCACAGTGCATCGGGGATTTGAGCGCGGGGGAGTGTCAAGACTGCCTGTCGGAGGCGATCGGGCGGTTGAAGAGCGAATGCGGCACGGCGGTCTTCGGCGACATGTTCTTGGCCAAATGTTACGTGAGGTATACGACCGGTGGAGCTGGACAACAAGTGTATCCTCAAGCCCATGAGGGTGAGCCATTCTCTTAAAAGGATAAATCGACGCAATTGCAATGAGCCATTCAATTCTTGAATTCGGACTTTTGAATGATTTGCAGGTAAAAGCACCGATGAGGGATCAAAGGCATTTGCCATCATTGTTGGGTTATTAGCTGGAGTGGCTCTCCTCATCATCTTTGTCGCCTTCATAAGAAAAGCATTTGAAGCAAATGGTAAATATTAAAACACCCATCTTTTATTTTTCAAAATTTCTTCATCTCAGCTCAAATGATGTCCTCATCTTGATTCTTTTGGTGGCTTTGCTTCTTATGCAGGTAAGTGACTTTGCCATCTCCTCCAATCACAATCTCAAACGCTTTGCATTGCTCTTGCTTTTGAGTGGCACCCCCTTTTGCTTCTTTCTTTCCTTTTCCTCCATCTCGATGGCTGCTTTTCCCATCACATTGACCCTTTTGAGTATTGGCTTCACATGCAAATTCTCCCAAAAAGCAAAAGATGCAGAAGCCTACGGAGGGCTTTGTGGACTTTGGGAAAGATGGGAAAGAATGATGAGTGTATCATGTCACTATACATTTTAGTGAAAGGGGCTAAAAAAGATGAAGGCTTTGCTCTCCACTTGATATAAAGTTGCAGTGTCTCATCTGGCAGTGGAAGAGGACATGTCCTTTTATGCATGGTGTTTTGTTTACTTTTGTATTAGACCCATCCCTTGTAAACTATTGCTTATTGGTTGTGTATATGAGGGGATAAATTTATGAGTTCTATGGTGTATGTAAGTAATGCAATTGGATATTTTTTTTAGAGTTTTACTTTCCATCACATGAATTGAGTTGAGGATTGTTGATTGATGTGTAAGTGCGACTCATGTACACCAAAATGGTCACAATCTCGACTACTCCTTGTGGGATGGATCAGGTTGTTATAAATTGTAAGTCGAAGTCGAAGTCGAAGTCGTACACTGGCGGATGTGTGAGATTGATCCTACCTACCCGAGGGAGAGGGAACTTTTGTATTGAATTATGGGGGCTTTTGCCCTCACTCACTCACTCTAAAAATAATTTAAAATCATGAAAATCTCGCTTCTAGATAATAAAAAAAAACAAAACATTCAATATTACCAGACTTATTAAGCATGAGAATACCGGCTACTTCAATCACCGGAACAAATACACTCGATTTAGTTGTCTTGGCCGGATCAAATTTTTCCCCCACGAGGAAACAAAAAATCTTTAGATCCGCCCCTGCACGCGGCTAATGTAATCGATCGGTTATACCATATTGGCGTCTTGTGCATACGCCGAGTAATTTTCCATGATGAATGAAGGAAAACATGGAGACAGACACAAAGAAATGTCGACCATGTAAACAGAAGTTAATTATGCACACATGGATGTCCCAATGTGTACATCAATTATCAACTGATCGGCCCTTAACTTTATTGGCCCATCAGCCCATGTAGGCAAACACAAGCTGATCTCCCCAAAGCCGAACCGAATGCACCCTAAGATTGACCAATGGAAAAGCCGGTGATGATACCCAATAGATCTGATCACAGAGTATAGCACCCGTTTGGCCAGCCTAGACCCACCTATGCTAACAAGCCTGAAACACAAATTTGTGAGGCCTCTAGGAGCAATATCTTTTGGGGGCCTGTTCTGGACCACATGGGCTTTCTTGGACCCGTCCCGGCCCAATAATTTTATGCATAGAAGTTGATTTTTCTCAATTTATGGGAAGTTTGGGCAAGGGCAAGGGCAAGGACTATTGGACGTGGTACTCGGCTTAACCGTCCCACAGATTAGGCATGACATTCAAATCAAATTAGCACTTATCTTTTAAGATAGAATGATTCAAACTTTTGGCTTTACTAATCCTCGAGAATGCTCACAAACCATTTCATTGAGTTCGTTCGGTAAAGCTCTACTTGTAGGGTCATGGGACTGGCCTGTAAGATCACTCTGAGTGGAGAGACGTTATTGTATATGGACACAATATCTTCCGTTTCTAAAATAACCCTCGATCATTCTGCCATCCCTTTCGAGATTTGGTTAACATAAGATTGTCCCCGGGTAAAGAGATACAAAATAATTCTTAGAGATCACTTTATATAGTATATTAGACGAGAAAATTACCAAAAAAGTCATAAATATATTATATGAATGCCAATTCAGTCCTAAACTTTCAATTTGACCAATTTGGTCCTTAACCTTTTGAGAATTTGTCAATATAGTCATTCCGGCCAATTTTAGCAATCTTAGTCGTTCTACATTGCACGACCGATAATGACGTAAACAGTTTTTATAAATTTATTGATTTCTTTTTCTTTTCCTTTTTTCACTGTGGACCAGCAACTCTCACCCGCAGTTGGCGAGGGCTTCATGGCCCTTGTCCATGGCCCTCGTCGACACACAGTTGAAAAAAAAGAGGAAAAGATAAGATAAGAAAATTAATAATTCAAAATATTTAAAGAAATTGTAAAATTTGTTCATGTTAGTGCAGGCTGTTCCACATAAGATGGCCAACATCCACGTCTGGCCGGAAGGATCAGATTGGCAAATCGTCAAAATATTTAGGACTATATTGGCCAAATTAATAAGTTTAAAACTGAATTGGCAACTGTATAGTGAATTTAGGACTTTTTCTAGTTATGATCCCTATTTTAGGCGTACGAAATGATTACAATGGACCAGCATACCCCGTTCATTCATCTTACCTCTTCGTATACGAGCCATGACCATAACAAGTCGTTGCCAAACGCATAAGATCTTGTGATTACAAAGGACCGGTATACCCTGTCCATTTATCTTATCTCTTCATTAACAAGCCACGACCACACCAAGTCGTTACCAAACGCATAAGATCTTGTGATTACAATGGACCAGTATAACTCGTTCATTCATCTCATCTCTTCGTAAACAAGCCATGACCATACCAAGTCGTTCCCAAAACGCATAAGATCTTGTGATCTTGATCTTCACGAACACTTCGTAAGAAAATGACTTGGACTCGTGAAATTCCTACAATCTTGCTCCGATAATGAATCTATGAACGATAGTCCCCACCGGCCTACGTTGCCAAATTCATTCATCAACCGGTCGGCAATCATACGCCTAATCATTGTCGGCCTTTTCCCACCTAACTTAGGAACAGCCCGAGCCTGCATATGTCCACGCCACGCCCACCAGAAGCATATGTTCGTCTCGTCGGAGCAGAAAATTCCATGCTCCTCCTTCGCTCCGCTGGAGAATATATTCCCCCTACCAATTGCAAAATGATGAAGATCTTGAGCTTCCGGAAGTTAAAGGCTAGGGGTTATTCGTGTACGCGCGTCATGTTCTTGTCGTTTTGTGTATTATACACACGTCATCCCGAGCAGGCATGACATGAAAATCAGCGGGTTAGTATCTGGCGTCGGCCTATGGAACACAAAGACGACTTGAAGATTAGCGGGTTGGCACAACACGACCTGTGGATTTCTCGATCAAATAACGGATGGGGGGATCGACATGGTTGCATGACCTGCTATGATACGATATCAACGTGACAACACAAATTTGACGAGAAATATCCTTGGTTTTTCCCAAAACATGTCTACAGATTACAACAATTTATCATCAAGATATCATCAAATCAAATTAAACATGTTCATAGTCAATACATTATCGTCAAGCCGAAATTCTGGAAGTGAATTGCACGGACACTATAGTCTTTAACTATTCGTATCTGAAATAGTCATGTAGGGTTCGTGTCGACACTCGTTCGTTAATATAAACGAATTTATATGAGCCAATTTCATGTCTGCTAGGTTTGACACGAACACGGCATCGTGATTAACCGTGCCGGTTGGTTGACATGAAATTAACCCAAATACGATTAGCCTAAATCATCCAAACTTGTTGATTTCAGTCATTGTATTAGATCGTGCTGAAAATTGTCATCCTAAATTTAGGTCGAGAGGAGCAAAAGTAAGTTGGGAATAAGTAGATTACATGCTTACCATTTCCCTAAGCATCAGGCAAAATTCTGGCCAACATCTGGTGGCTCTGGGGATGTTCACCGCTGGTCAATTTATTTGCTTTCGTCGTAGGAATTGAGGGGTGTTTTATAATCGCATTTAGCATTTTATGTATCGTAAAGTGCACTTGATAGTCTCTAAAAACGCATAACTTAATTTATTACTTTAAACCAAAAATCTCTTAATGCGGTAAGTAAAAAAAAACGCTTACATAATTCTTTAAGTGGTAAAATATTCAATAAGAATTAAAATCTCATTAATTATGCTACAAAACCATTCAACAATATTCACTATTCCTTAGTTTGTAAGAACTTCATAAAATCTAGTATTCAATTTTCCATCTATTAGTGAATATTTTTTATTTATTTTCAGTACTTAGACATTTCGGCACTTAACATACGGTCGGTACTTAAAAAATTTACCGCTAATTTTTCAATTTTATCAAACGATCTCTTGGTACCTTAACATAGTGGAAAACATATGATTTAAACGTAAACCGATATATAGCAACGCAAATTAACATTTAAGGAGGAAAAAGTAATTTTTTATGATGGTAGTGTTCATTTTGACTAAATTATTCTCAAATGTCATGAATCACTATGTACAAGCTCGTTATATCTTACCCGGAGAATCATAGACAACCTATTTCAAAAGTGCAAGGTTAAATTGTCAAAAAATGTGCACGCAAAGTGTATCTAATAATAGTATATATAATAATGATATATTGACCAAAAAAAAGTATATATAATATACTAATATAATGCTCTCCCTCAAGGGTAAATTGTGCTCATCAATACATGCATATGTGATGCAAATAAAATTAACTCGGGACCAAATAAAATTAATAAGTGAATAAGTATGATGAATAATGATGTTGGTGTTCCCTGAACTTTTCTTCAATATTTAATATAGTCATTGAACTCTTCTATTTATTCAATACATCATACTCTCAAACATCCATTCAATGTGGTCCTTCCGTCGAAAATTCCAATACCGTTACCTGATGTGACCATAATTTCTACTAACTCGACATTAGATTGGCCACGGAATGAAAAGGGTATTTTCATATGTTTCGTATCTTAATATATCTCGTATCTTCCAAAATTAAACATACATAAAAAGAAATCTTTTCAACAACATTCAAGCATTGCCTAAATACCCCAATCAAATTTCTGATTTTTTTTAATCAAATTTCAAGCTGATGATGCATTTGCTGACCTGTATTGCCGAAAGTTGGTACGAATGTGATTTGGCGTTTTGGCTTATTAGCTTCGTTTGATGACAAAATTCAATTAAAATAAAATTTTGGGTCCAGCTCTTTCAAACCTGTCAATAGAATGGTGGGGGTCCATGGATGAAATGGATTGGTGAACAGAAGGTCCACCCAATGCCAAAGATTGATTGGAAAACTAGCCTAGACCGCGACCGTTCCCTATAAAAGTATAGTCCGAATTTATAAGAAAATAATCGATTAATTACACAACCTACGACCGATGACCTAACTCGATTGAATCTTGAGTGCTAATTAAGATTCAAGAAAAGCTAAGTGCTGGTTATTATGGTGACATTTGTTGATGTTTGTGATGGGAATTCTTACGGTGGGAGGGAGTGAATGCATCTTTCCGTGTTAGGTTATACTAGTCTTCATGCCAATTATTATCTAGGAATTATGCTGCAAAAGACAACTTCGGGTAGACATTTTTCCATAGTAGCCGGACGGAAGTCGGATCGTTGACAGCCATTATGGTAGAACTATGACGAATCATACTTGAGGTTGTGGATACGTATTCCGAGATATTAATAAGAAAAAATAATACACGGCATATTGGTATCCCACGATAAAAAGTTTGGAACTTTTTATGGAACTTTCACTATTATAGTTGTAAGCCGGTTCGTTTTTCTCGATCACTGCATGAATTCAAGTCATATTATGTGACGGATGGTACTTTTGGGGTCACTGATACATATTTGAGGGTATTAGTAGGACAAATAAAGTTTGGGATATTGATGCATCATGAGAAACTGTTTAGGATTTTGTGGTGGGATTTTCCCTAATGTAGTCGTAAGCATGTTCGTCTTTTCGAATACGCCATATTTACACACTCTTAAAGTAAAGATATGCTTCTCTCCGTTAACTATACGATGTCATCATGGGCAACACGTGAAGGGATAAGTGTACCGAAAGTCTTAAAACTTGTCAAAAAAAGTGCAACGAAGTCTTATTACTTTAAAAAAAAAGTGCAATCAAGTCCTAAATTTTATCATGATAGTATAATCGAGTCCTAAAAATTTCAAAATATGTAATCAACAGAAGGACTTGATCGGACCAATTTGATAAATTTTAAGACTTGCATATATTTTTTGAAAGTTTTGTGACTCGATTATATTTTCGTGATAAGTTTTAGGATTTATTCACACTTTTTAAAAGTTTTATGATTCAATTATACTTTTGTGATAAGTTTTACATCTTTTCAAGCGCTTATCTTATCTTGCGAGAGCGAACGTGAATTTTGCTGGATATCAAAGTTATATTCGGTGGGAAAGCAATGGGTGCCGAGACGGAAGCTGCACACACTAAGTCACACCTGTGCATAATTTAAAAAGAGAAGAAGAAGGATTAGCTCCTTAATCGAACTAGCATGATCCCTAATTAATTAATGGGGGCAATGAAAGTGATCCAGCTTGCAGATTTTCCCCCTCCCCAATTAAATCAACATAATAGAACTCGCAAGTCTCCAAAGTCTGCACTGAACACCACCAGATCAGATTCCATTTGGAAGGTTCTTCGCCCCCTTTTTTAACTCCGCGGCGCCATATTAAAATGTCAAATCCGTAAGTTTCGACCGGCCGTCGGGGCGACGATAAGGGTTTCGAAACGGGCCCGCGGTCGATGATGTTGCGAAACATTAAAGTGCTTACCGGATTAAGTAGGATCACGAGATCAAGGAGAGGAAGAGCAAAAACGTGCAAGGAATTTAATGAGAGGGTACATGCGTGAAGACGAAGGTGAAGGTCAAGTCAAGGTGAAGGTCGTGTTTTGATTTGAACCGCGAGTCTCGTTCACCCTTTCTTTCGCTGCAGAGGTGGAAGGGCAAAACGTGTGCAGAGGAGGGATTTTTTAAGGTGCGGAGAGGAAGGAAGCGACGACCCTTTGCTGCGCAGAGCGTGCAGAGTTCAAGAAGAAGAAGAAGAAGATCGTTGACGCAGAGAGAGGGAGACCCATCTTGTTCTTGTTCTTGTTCTTGCTCCTCGTCGTCGTCGGCGGCGGCGGGGGCGTTGTCTGGCGATGGTGTTCGTTTTTGGGTCTTCTTGGCCCGCGAAAGGGTGCGCGAGACCCTCTGCTTTGATTCCAAGAATGTCCGCTGTCGCAGCACTCCTGGTGCTCGCGCTCTCCTGCTGCGGCTTCTTGAACGTCGCCCGCTCCGATCTCGCCTCCGACCGGGCCGCCCTCGTCGCCCTCCGCGCCGGCGTGGGCGGCCGCCTCCTCCTCTGGAACCTCACCGGGCCGCCCTGCTCCTGGGACGGCGTCATCTGCGACAGGGCCCAGAAGGAAGTCGTGGAGCTCCGGTTCCCCGGGAGGGGACTCTCCGGCGGCCTCCCCGCCGGCACCATCGCCAACCTCACCCAGCTCCAGACCATCTCCTTCCGCTTCAACTCCCTGTCCGGCCCCATCCCCGCCGACCTCGCGTCCCTCCCCCAGCTCCGGAACCTCTACCTCCAGGGCAACTCCTTCTCCGGCGAGCTCCCTCCCTTCCTGTTCGCCCTCCAGAACCTCGTCCGCCTCAACCTCGCCTCCAACAACTTGTCCGGCGAGATCCCCCCGGCGTTCGGCAACCTCACCCGGCTCAAGACCCTCTTCCTGGACGACAACCGGTTCTCCGGGTCGATCCCGGACCTGAGCCTGACCCTCGACGAGTTCAACGTCTCGTCCAACCAGCTGACCGGGCCGATCCCGTCGAAGCTCTCGGCCATGCCCCAGTCCGCCTTCGCGGGGAACTTGCTCTGTGGACCGCCGCTCAAGTCCTGCAACGCCACCACCGGGAGCGGAAACAAGCTATCCGGCGGAGCGATCGCCGGGATTGTGATCGGCTCCGTTATCGGGCTCTTCTTGATTCTCCTCGTTCTGATCATCCTGTGCCGTCGCAAGAGCCATGGCGGCAGCGAGAAGCCCAAATTGGTGGAGGCGAAGTCGGCCGAGGCCGAAATCCCGCCGACCCGTGAAGCCAGGAGCCTCGGCGAGTCCAAGGCAAGCGGCGCCGCTGTCATCAGTGGCGGCAAGAGCGGCAACAAGAGCTTGGTGTTCTTCGGCAAGGGGACGTCGGCAGCGGCGTTCGACATGGACGACCTGCTGAAGGCGTCGGCGGAGGTACTGGGGAGAGGGACGTTCGGGACGACGTACAAGGCGACCCTGGAGACGAGGATGACGGTGGCAGTGAAGAGGCTGAAGGACTCGAGCGTGGGGGAGGCGGAGTTCAGGGAGAGGATGAGGGAGATCGGGGCGGTGGAGCACGAGAACCTCGTGGGGCTGAGGGCCTATTACTTCGACAAGGACGAGAAGCTTCTCGTTTATGATTACTTGCCCACCGGAAGCTTGTCCGCACTTTTACATGGTGCGCATCCATTCGCTCTCCTCTTCTTCACTTTTCCTAACCGTCGTCTGGTTTGGTTTTGTCGTGGTGTCTTGTGTCGATGCCTTTCGATGTGTTTGTATGGTTGTCATCTGCTTTCGTGTCTCCATTGTCGTGGTTTTGCATACATGCTAAGTGCATCCGAGTTCATAACCTACATGGGTTTCATCAAATTCCTGAGAAGAACTTGGCACTGTCACCTATGATAAGAGATGTCCACATTGGTTCACAAAATCTCATTTTTTTAAATACCCAATTGAAAAACGCTTTTCAAAGGAGAGTAATGTAGCCTTTGGTGTAGTCTAAGATGCAATTTGAGCACCTCGAAAAGCTGAGGATGAAGAATGGTTTGAAATGTGCAAGGAACTTTCGCCTTTTCGGCTTCTGGCACATGATTATTCATGGCCTAATCTACCTGAGCCCTGGACTTGGAGTGACTGTAACATTAGCTTTTAATGCTTGGAGATGTAGAGCTCCCTTTTTGCATGCATTTAGAACATTACTGAAGTTGGGGATTCTCCATCTTCTGCTACCTGCGGGACTTTAGCAGCTTGTCTTATGCTCTTATAGAGAACCTCGTAGGTACATTGGGATGCGAGTTTTTTGCCGCAATTTTTGGTGTTGGGGAGGTTGACTTGCATGGACAGATCTAGACTCCACATAGCTAATATCTTCTCCTGCATATTCGCTTTGACCAAAGCCTGGAACAAGTCCCAATGCTGAACTGAACTGAAGCTATCAGACAATGCGTTACTTGTTATTACTGTCATTTAATGTACCGGTGTTATTAAACATTGTGCAACCCCTAGCATTGCTATTTCAAGAACAACATGCGATGCATCGTCCACTTGATGTAAATAAGTGTTCTCTGTGCATCATACGTATGTGTTTCCCAAGTCCAGGAGGATCAACAGGGTCGCATGAGGTATCACCATATCACTGGAAAAAGTATTAATTGGTTGGAATATAATTGACCACGAATACCTCGATCCTAACTTGCGATTCTGCAATCCGTCTTGTCAATGCGCTTTCTTTGCATGATGTTTGCAGGAAACTCATTAGTTGGCCGAACTCCGCTTCATTGGGACACCCGGTGCAGCATTGCCCTCGGTGCGGCCTGCGGAATCGCCTACCTCCACTCCCAGGCCGTGACATCCCATGGCAACATCAAGTCATCCAACGTCCTCCTCACCAAGTCCTATGAGGCCCGGGTGTCCGACTTTGGCCTTTACCACATCGCGACCCTCACCGCACCTCCCAACCGTGTTGACGGCTATCGCGCGCCGGAGGTGACGGACTCCCACAAGGTGTCTCAGAAGGCCGATGTGTACAGCTTCGGGGTGTTGCTACTGGAGCTGCTGACGGGCAAGGCGCCCACGCATTCGCTGCTGAACGAGGATGGGGTGGACCTCCCGAGGTGGGTCCAGTCGGTGGTCAAGGAGGAGTGGACTGCTGAGGTGTTCGACGTCGAGCTCCTCAGGTACCAGGATGTCGAGGAGGACATGGTCCGGCTCTTGCAGCTCGCGATGCATTGCACTGATCAGTACCCGGATAAACGCCCTCCGATGGCTCAGGTCGTGAACAATATTGAGGAAATTTGCCGTTCAAGCATGCCGCAAGAGCAAGAAGAGCACAGTGGTTTGGGTGACGGGCCATACTCACATCAGACCTCGGTCGAGTCGGGCGCGCCGCCTTCTTCCTAATTGATGAATGATCATCGGTTACCTTTGCAATTGCGATCGGAACATTTGGGCTGTGGAATATGAACGATTGGTTGCTTCATTATTTTTTAGGTTGGGTTTATAGTTTGGATGACTGGTATATTTTACCCTTCTTGGCGTCGAAGTGCAACAAACCCTTCTTTTTTTGACCTTTCAATATTTTGCTGACCTTCAATTCTTTTCTATTTACAAGCAGAAGGTCTTGTCTATGTAAATTTTCAATGGAACAGTTTTCTGTCTTGAAGACAGTACAATCTCCCCAGGGGCAAACTATGCTAAATACAATCTCCCATGTACTAAATAGTAAATACTATGCTAACTACTGTTGCCTTCGAGGTCCTGGCATAGTGCTCGCATCAGTTCTGGTATTTTTTAGGGATAGATTTGAAAAGCAAACTTATACAATCTGGCAACACAACAAAGAGAAGTACCACAACAGACGAAACGAGGGACACAAAACAAAACGACTTGCTCTTATCCTCGATAAGTAGTTGTAACTTACTGTGAACAAACTAAAGCTGAGTATGGTTATGATCGGTCGAAGCAAAGAGAAGATATCATTACACGTTATGTTGATTTAAATATCGGAAAACAATACAAGGAGATCTTGCTTCTACAGTTGAGATTCTGTACAGAAACTCTTATTAGGGAACACAAATAACCACCAATGAAACAAAAAGAGTACACGTGCCACCGCGAGGAGAGAGACAGGTTTTTGTTCGCGGTTCTGCTTCTCAGCTCAAATCATTCAGCAAAAACCACTCTTCCATCGAACCCAAAAAAGTTCAGGCCAAACAGTTGCTCACTTCGCAGTTTTAGAGTGCTTAATGAGCCAATCAATCACAGCATCTATGTTGACGGAATCCTTGCATGAGATCATATAGCAGCACACCTCTCTGTCTTGGATGGATTCAAGCCCTCTGCGAATAACGAGTCATGAACTTAATCTAAGATACAATCCACCCTCCGATTGTTCAAGGCAATGGAGTACTTTTTTTTTTTAATTGCAAAAGAGTGCATAACAATTTGGGTAAGGTTTTACAAACTCACAGTTGATCTACCAATGCCTGCTTCGAAAGAGCTTCTGACTTGTCAATTTTGTTCCCGAGCATCAGAAGAGGAATCCCACTCAAGGAAGGCTTCATCAAGAGCTCATGCAGCTCACTTCGTGCTATAGGAACGCTGTCTCTATCAGCAGCATCGACTACATATCTGCCTTTGCACATGTCAAAAGATAATGCAGAAAAGTGAATCCAGCTGAACGACCAGTAAAAATCCAAAGATTTCATTGAATGGATAATAGCACAATGGTGCAACGTCGTCCATTATCTCCAAAAATTTAATTTACCACTAGAACAGAGGAACAAGATTAACTTGCAAATCCACGCAGCATTCGACTTCTTAATGATGAAGTTCTAATCTTAGTTCCCCATATAGTCTCATTTAGAGAACCAGCACAACATGTTAACAACACAAGTAACAGAGTCTCTCATGGGATGAAATTATTCATCATTCATTCAAACAAAACAACAGTAAAGGCAATTCCCCTGCCGTCAAAAGGATAGAAGAAGAAGACCCGTCCTTGGATAAGTCAGCAGATACATTCCAATTAAGATGTCCCCTTCATAATTCTAAACAAGCAAGACGATCCTGAACATGTCCTCAAGCCCAGAAAAAAACTTGAAAGAGTCGAGCAGCAAAAGTTGAAAACACTTGGCCCAGATCATCAAAGCTTTGACAAAACTGTGGATTCTAGGCCATTATGCAGTACACACAAGGATTTCATCCATCCTGTTCTCTACACATTCCATTTCAATTCCCTAATAAATATCAAACACTTGTGTGGAGGCAAATAAATAATCAATTTCCAGCATATCCAAGTTACTGTTGCACGAGATTCCAGGATGCACAATAATTGAAAGGTTAATTCGCAAGGAGAGATTACACGATTGCAGAGACCCCGCGGCAGTAACGCTCCCACATGGTGCGAAACCTCCGCTGCCCTCCAAGGTCCCAAAGTTTTATTGTCACATTTCCTTTTGTAACTTTTCGCATATTGAAACCAACCTGCATATAACATCAAAAACAAAGTACTTAAGGAAATTTCTCCAAAGATTAAAGTGTACTCAAATTCAGAGTAATTCCAAAAGCAAACACTGACAGTTGGTATCATGTCTTCAGTGTAGCCTCCTGTCTGTCAAACATCAGAGTAGAATGTCAAGAACATGTCGCCAATACTGTCATAAATAGCATAAAGAGTTTGCATCTACTCACAGCAATAGCATTTACAAGAGAAGTTTTTCCAGCATTCTGAAGACCTACGAGGGAAAGTTCCATTTCTTGTTTGAAAAACAAGCTGCCATGGCCAGGACAAAGTCAGCAATGTACAAAAAATGCAGCATATAGAAGTTAATATGTTGATCTTTGAGTGGAATCAATATATGATAAAGAGAAAGGTGTGTCCTTTCCTTTTCTCTGAAGCATTTGCATGATAAGAGGAATGCAGCCAGATTTTTCAGATCCGACCATTTAAAATTAACTTTGCGACATGAATGCATGAGAGCTATCTTTGCAATCATCAATTGTTGACACTATACGCAGGGCTAACACCTGCTGAATCCTGTAAATAGATACTCCTCATCATAGAAGTGTTTTTCATCCCGATACTCCAAAAAATGTGGCATTAGAGAAGAAGCATCACAAAATGATGGACTATTCAGATAATTAAAAGATGCAGATGGTAAATTACTAGGAAGATAATGCAATAATCATGTCCCATCCACAAAGAAGAGTGTTCCATCATCAAATTTCCAAAATTCTGGCCTATGTAAGTCCGGCCAACCCTAAAACCTGGTGAGCTGACTTAACAAGCAAGGTGTGCAAAGATTCAGTATAAAATAGAGTTGACGGGCATAAGCTGAGGCAGTTTTACTGCTTACGGCTTCCACCCTAAGTGCGCAATGTCGAGTTGGGTAGTGTCAGGGGAGTTTTTTTATAAAGCTTAATTTATCTTCCTCCGCGAGTGTTCAATTTCGTGTCAGGGGAGTTGAAATTTAAATTTGCTTCTTAAACTCTGTTTGCAAACTCATCAACTGCTTGACTATTGAATTTGATGGGAACCAAATTCTAACTCAAGGATAGACCACTCCACATTATGCCGTTCAACCATACTCAGCATCACCTCTTACAATTGGAGAGAGAAAAACCAATATGCAAGTAGGTCAAGGACAGTTACTAATGCTAGAAGCACGAAATATGAAAAAAAAACACTACCAAATATAGGGAGGAAAAACAAGAAATGAACGAGCCATTGATTGGAAGTAGCTCACGGAGCCGTCAACCTCAAAGGTCAAAGGTCATCAAGAAAATCAGCACATGAAGTCACAGCAATTCCAGGGCACCATAAAAAGTTGATATTTTGAGCACAAAACCGGGCACAGTGCAGCTCTTGAAATTTACCCTCCGACATGTACGAAGACCCATCAACCAATACACAAGGACATACGAGAGAACAAATATTATGAATCCTTCTATACCAAATCAAGAACATCACTGCGGAATGCACACAGAGGTTTCTGGCAAGCAGATCGGCGGGAACAGAACAAGAAAGAGCAAGAAGGGGGGACCAAAATTACCTCCTGAGCCAGATGAGAAGAGAATCCCAGAGACCCATCTCCTCCAAATTGGAAATTGGATCAAAGGGTGGGTCGACCACTGTAATCTTCGCAGGAGACTGAAGTGAGGACGAAGAAAGCCCCAATCTTGGTGGGGGGAGGGAGAGCGAGCGAGCGAGCGAGAGAAAGAGAGATCGGAGGAAGCTTCGCCGACCCAGCGACGAAGCGACGGTATACTTGTCGATGCAGCGGAGTAGCTTGCGCTGCTGCTTTGCTTGCTTCGTCTGTTGTCTTCTGCTGCTACTTTGTCTTAATAACCGTTGTCCAGGTTGTGCAAGAGCTCTATTTTTCTGCAACCAGTTTCTCCCTGCGACCAGCCAATATTATTATGTCCCAGTGGAAAATTCTTTAACCCTTCGCAAAAATATTGTCCTTAAGATAAGGATCAAAGAGAGAATATGAAAGGATTTTCTTTTATGTCTATTTTTATTTGGTGAAACACCGGATATCACAATGAGTATTTTACAAATAAGAAGGATTAATAAAAAATTACTTAAAAGGTAAAAAAGAAAGGGGGCCACCCACAGTGGTAATGTCGGGAGCAAGCTGACGTGTTTGGGAGTCGATTTGAGATATCTCGATGATTGCTCATCAGGAATATCTAATAAGAAGGATAGGACGCTGAAAAGGAAGAAATCTAAATAAGGAGTTTTATTCAGAAAGAATATCATGATGGAATCAATTATAGTGATTGTCCAATTAGAGGAATTCCAGTCAATCGGAGATATTTCTAATTGAGAGGTGATTGTCAATCAATTAGGGAGAATTCCTAACTTGAGCGGAGATCTACCACTATAAACAGAAGGGATTGGGTGGAGGCAAGAAAATATTCCAGAGACATCACAAAAATCTTCAACGATGTGTGTAAATACGAGAAATCATGAGAGTTCATCAAGTGAGGGTGTGTTTTGTGACAGTTGTGAGGATTTATTGTTAGAAAAACACTGTTAGAGTGTCCATTGAGTGGAGTAGTTTTTAGATTAGCGTCCCGTGATTTTTCCCATATTGGGTTTTTCACGTGTAAAAATTTATGCTGAATCATTCTTCTTTTGTTGTGTTATTTGTGTTTTTTTGCAAAGAGAATACACAGGTTGCATATTACGCGATTCTGACAATTAGAATTTCGCTACGATGAGTTGTGATCCGACTTAATTTACAACAGGTAACAAGACCATCATAGCCACAATGGCTAGCGTACTTGACGGAGACCACCACTGTGGGGTCACATTAGGCCGCCGCAACAAAAGGAGAGAATCCACGTCAAGATCCAAATACCAATTGTCACCGGGCGACGTCGTCAATGGATACCCAGTTGCGGTGGATCACTCGTCAAGGGAAGGGACCACCACCACGATAGTCTCACAGTCATCATTCTTGATGGTCGAGCCTTGACAGAGCCAGAAGACGAGGGAGGGAGAAATCTTGAGCAACCACCATTGCAACGGTCGCCAGCAGTGTGAACAGTGGCATTGCTCGTTGGTCACCTAAGGCTTCTGCCTTTTCCTTTTTTAATTTTTTTTAAAATTTTATTTGTTTCGCGAAAAATGATAATATTTTTCGGTATTTGATTGAAACCTAAAAATGAATTAGCATATATTTTTCCATTGTTTGGTAAGAAAAGTTTGATCAGATTTTCCTAATTAGATATACACTATTCGGTCATTAGTGACTTGCACATAAGCTATCGGGGACCCGAGCATTATCATTAGGGTCCTAAGTCTAGCCTCGATGGACCAAGGCCTGGCACCGGGGACCCAGTCTAGGGCGCCCCTCCCTGGGTTCGGGGATCGAGGCAAGGGCTCCAAGATCCTAGACCTAGCCTCGATGGACCTGGGCAAAATCTTGACGAACTCGAGCTCAGTCTTAATGGAACTAGGCAAGGGTGCCAGGGTCCTGAGTTTGGTCTCAATGGACATGGCCCTAGGCTGGGGGACCCTAGCACTGCAACTAAGGTTTCAGGCCAGCCTCGATAAACTTAGTCCCAGGCGTGGGGACATGGGCACGAGCATTAAGGACCGGGCATAACGTCAAGGACCTGATCCCGAGCACGGGCACCGGAATCCCGAGCCTTGGCCTCAATGTACCCAAGCTTAGGCACAGGGGACCCAAGCATGGGCACTAGGGTCCAGGGCTTGGCCTCGGTGGACTCAGACTCGGACATGGGCTTTGGAGTCCCAAGCTTGGTCTTTGTGAACTCGGGCACGGCTTCCATGGATTGAGGCCCAAGCGTTGTGGACCCAAGCCCGACCTCAATGTACTCAAGGCACGTGCACCATTATCTCGGGCCCAGCCTATATGGACCTGAACATGACCTCAATGAACCTAAGCCTAGGCACTAGAGATTCAGGCACTAACACTGGGGTCTTGGCCTTGACCTTTATAGACCCGGGCCCAAACGCCAAGGCCCTGGGCATGGCACCGGTGTCCCGAGCCCAACCTATGTGGACTCGAGTGTGTGTACCGGGGTTCTGGACTCGGCCTCTATGGACCCAGGTTTGGCCTCAATGATCCTCGGTGGACCTGGCTCCAACCTCTAGACTAGTGTTCACCACTAGAGGCTTGGGATTGAGCGTTGGGGTTCTCATACTACATGAGCAAAAGATTGCCTTGTACATCCTTGACCGGGCCTCGTTTCTTCAGCAAGGACAAAGAAGCACACTAGATTATAAGATAATTAACCATTGGCCATCAATCATACTACTTAGATTAATAATTCCCATCGTGGGGATGGGCTGTTGGAAAGATGGCTTTGGCTCAGTGTCTACAATGATGCTGCCATGACGGCTCAAGGTTCGCTTTGTGTTGCGAATGATTTCAATATACTAGCAATGATAAGGACGTTTTTGCGATCAATCGAACCCTACTCGTCTTATGAGGGTAAGGATCTAAATTGGCTTCAAGTCTTACGGAGAGTGGACTACCCTTTTAAAGCCACAGGTCGGCGAAGATGGAGCCTCGCCACAGGTCGGCGAGGCTGGAGCCTCGCCGGGATCGGGCGAGCCTCCAGGTCGTCGGAATCGGGCGCTCGAGGCTCGAGCCTCGCCCGAGGCCGGCGAGCTCGAGCTTCGCCGGCCTCCGGCGAGGTCGTCCCGCCCCGGTGGCCGGTCGCCATGGCCGACCACCGGCCGGAATAAAAAAAAAAAGAAAAAGAAAGAAAAGAAAAGAAAAAAGAAAAAATAAAAGAAAAAGAGAGAAAAAAATAATTAAATTTCGATTTTTTTTAAACATTTTTGTAAAGAGGGAGAGAGTGTGTGGATGGATCTAGTAGGTGGGTTGGACATGGGTTCCAAACTCAATCCATTTAGACCCATTTATCTTTAAGCTTTAAAATTTAAAACCCATTTAAGGTTGACTCTTTAAAATTAAAATAACCCATATATGACCCATTTATTTTTAAATGGTTCATATATGGGTTTAAGACCCATTTAGACACCTCTACTAGCGGGCAATCCAGGACATGATTTGAAGGAACTCCCGAGGGATATGTGCATGGCCTTACTTGCTTATCATGCTCTCGGTGTTATAATGGCCTAATAAACCCAGCCCATATCTCTTAAGCCCAAGCCCATCTCGTTACCCTTCTTCTTCGTCAGATAATGCACGGAGAAAACAAGAAAAACAAAGAGAGCTTGTCCATGAAGGAGAAAAAGGGAAAAAGTTTCAAGGATAGTCAATTCGGACATTTCGACAAGCTGAATCAACTCCGAATTGCAACGCATGGTAAGTGTTCAAGCCAATTATTTGTCTAATCGGGGTAATTTTCAGAGTTATGGCACAGCAAATTCAAAGTTATGTCAATATTAAACTCGAAGTTCGATTGAGGAGCTATTAGGCTGTGATTTTTGTGGAAATTACAATTTAAGGTGTTGTGGAGCTGTGAGATTTAAATGAAATTATGAACTTTCGCGTGTGAGTTACGTGTATCGGACAACATGCGTAACAGAAAATATGAACGTCCATTATAAACGAGTTTCTTCGTTAGCGCGTAGGAGTCAATTAGTTGACGATTAAGCATGGAGTTGTCAAGTTGGTCGTTAGAGTAGTGTTTTACTCTGATTTTGATATCATTCTTCAATTAATTGATCGGAATGCGAGTGCGTTGGCTCAAGTAACTTTCTTAAGTCGGTTTTTAGCTTTCCTAGTGAGTATGCTATCTTTTCTATGAATTTATAAACTTGCGTCTTGAAAGCAATAGAGATTTGATATAATGAGTTCTGAAAGGGCATATTTGTCACATAAAATCTAGATCGGACATTTACTACTTTTCAGTTATTTGTGAATGCATTTGAGAAACGTTTTCTGAAAAACGTTTTGAAATGTTACTGGTTTATGAAATGAGTTTTCAAATGGGGTGAGAAATGTCTTGTGATATATATTTTTTGATTGATGAACGGAGTTAAGAAATATTACAAAAAACTCTTAACTTTGAGTATGGTTTATGAAAGGTCATATATATTGATTTTTGAAATGCTCTATGAAATGCATTCTATTTGATAAATTAAGTTGTGAAAGGTGATTTGATTCGGTTTGTGTAATTGATTTATGGGATGAATTATGGTTTTGATTGTGGGATTATTGGAGAATGAGGTTTGTGCTCATGTTGTTATGATCAAAACCCATTGAGGGAGGGAGTATGCATATTGTTGTCAGGACGTTCTTTTGGGCTGAACCATCGACAAATATAGGTAAAGACTTAGCCAAAAGGTGGAAACTTGATCACCTTTGTAACATGCATTAAGCATGACCATAGTTAGATATTGAGCATTAGATTATTGATGGAATGGACCATCAACATGTAATTTGATGAGATTAGTTAATACAAAAGACCATTGGTATGTGAGTTGTTGAGATTAATCAATAGACTAGACCATTGATATTTTGATTTGGCAATACTGCAAAAATGAGTATTTTTGATATGGATAAAACTTTGTTGAAAAAATAAAACTCGTTTTTAACCTCATACAAACGCAGATTGGGTGCTCGATCTACTTAGAAAAGGCATGCACTACTCATAGAGTTGTGGTTGCTCACCGCTTTCATCCCAATGTTTTTCAGGTTTTTCAGCTAGCGGCAAATAAGACGAAAGCGATATCAATGCGGATTTCAGTAGTTGGATTTTTGGACACTCATGGGTATGAATTGTGTATATTGATCGTTGTTGGGTTTAATTGACTTTAGAGTGGTACATATCATCTGTGATGGGTTTTAGAAACTTTGATTTCGTAACTAACTTGCTACTTTATAATATATATATATACACGCGCACGCAACCGTGTCATTCCCGTTTCTATTAGGATTCAATGTGTGAAACTCGGAGTCCCGGACTCAGAGACATTCAAGAG